AGGTGAAACTTTGGCTTAAGATTTCAACATTTTTAGACAACTGTTCTGTGAGTGAAAATTAAGGAATAGCTTATTCGGACTCAAGGTGACAAGGACTTACAGGCAGAACTAGCATACAGATATGTTTGTCTGTGTACTGAAGGACAGTGGAACCTGGCGATGGCCTTTCCCATAACCTGCGTGGAAGGAGGGCCTCCTTGCACAACCTGCACCCTGCCATTCAAAGCCCAGTCCTTGGCACAGGCAAGGTGCCAGGCTGGCCACTTCACGAGCTGACCATAAACAAGCCTAATGTACCACAAAGTCACACAGGGACAAAGCAAGGCCTGGACTTCAAGGAGCAGCAGCTCCCATTCCTCAGCCCCAGCCGCTGACCTGCATGGCTCTCCACTACAAAAACCCCTTTGACTGTATTTGTAGAGACCTAACACCAAAAAGCAACCCTGCTAATTTCACTGAAAATAGGTATCAGCTGTAAGAGAATGCTGATTGCCCTAGAGCTTCACATCTTAGATACAGAGTTAACAATTTCTACTAGAGACCGCTTTAAAGAAGAGTTGGCACTATTAAGCTGTGTGAATATTTCTCTCTGAGGTTTTTTTCCAATACTATCTTTAATTTCTATTATCTTTGGAGAGAATGGATTTACAAGTATACAAGAAGATGCAGAGTAGTGGAAATTGAATAAAAGGAAAAAGAAATGGAAACGGGAACTTGTAGTTTTCAAGATCAGGTGGTTTCTGATAGTCATTGGGTCCATTCTCTCTCTTCATTCTCCATTCTGTCATTCCCTGTGCCAACTCACAGGAAATAATGGCATGCTTTGTATACGTTATCTTTCACCTCCTTCAGGTACATACAGCAAGGAAGCTGTATTTTAAACAATGTATAAACTAACAAAAAACACACTAACCTTTTACAAATCACTGTGTCATAGCCTTACCTATCATACCACTTACAAAATAAATCCAGGCTCAGGAGGAACACCAGATAACTTGTCCATTATTTAGCTTTTAAAAGCTGATGGTTTGTTTCAGAATATGATTTATTTCTTTTATTTATCAGCCTGCCCTGTTTCAAATGGGTACTGTCTTAGTGACCTCTAGATACCCTTGCATTTGCTCTGTGATATCTCCAGAATGTCAATGGTTTGATTCTTCATCTTTCATTTCCCAAACATTTCTTATTGGCCACTTCTGGTAGCAGTGGCAGCTGAAGTGGAAGTTTATCCTCTGATAATCTGTACTGCTTTAATGGTTCCAGGCATCCTGAGGATATTTTCCAAGTGTTATGGTGACACCAGCTGAGATCTTGGCAATGGAAAAGTGTTTCACATGTTTATTTTCTAACTTAGTCTCTTGTGGGTTTTTTTCTGCTTTCCCAATCCTCTGCCACCCTCTTGATTTCTATGGCTTAATGCCTTTTGTTATTACTATATTCTTAGTTATCACTTCTCAATATCTTTCCGATTAAAAAGCCTTTGAAAAACCTGAGGGTATTCCCAGTATGCATCCAAAAATCTCTTAATAGATTTCTCCAAACCTCCAAGTCATATTTGTCTAAAAGCTGAGCAAAAATCCCCTCTAAAAGGAACAACAACAGTCACATCTTTTTTATATATTTCTCTGTAAACTAGAGAAACTAGGAACTATAGCACATAAACCTTGTAAAACGATCAGCAGTTTCAAACAGTTCTGATACAAAATATGACACATAAAAGAGGTCACTGTTTTTAGCATGTCTCCAAAATAACATATGCTTGGAAATGCTTATCCTTGTAGCATCACTATCCTCCTTTTTCCGTCAGAAAATGAATCTTGCAGAAGCATGCCTGAAAAAGCAAAATTCTGATATAATTTCAATCACTCACTCAGTGTGTTCATGACTTTTATACAGCTGACTGAACATTTATTATCTCAGGTGAAAGAGAAGCTGTGAGTTTGCTCACCTTTGTCACCTGCAGGATCTTTGAAATGCCTCCTCTTCTGTTTCTTCCAAAGAGTACGTTTCCGCATCTCCCAATCCATTCCCGAGTCCACTGAACATGCAGACATCAATAAGTTCTGGCTAAGTTATCCTACGTAACTCTGAAGAAAAAAGGAGAGACTTGCAGACGCTGCAGAAGGTCTTCTTTACTCTCTTTGAAAATTTTCTTTTCCTGGTGGTCTGTCACAGTCAGGTCTCCGGTAGTAAACTGAACAACCTATCCTCCTGGCTCTTCTTTTCTTCTTTTTCTTTTCTGTAAACACATAATCAGGGCTTCAAATCCTTTAGGCATCACAAACTGTATTTCTCTATTGCCCTCTACTGACTGCTGGCTCACGCCTCCTTCCCGGAGAAGCGGCGAGCAACAGATACGCGGTACGCGCTCCCCGCCGCCCTCCCCCGGATCGATCATGATACACGGTGCCCAAAAGTCAACACAAATCATTCTATTTTTTTCCTTTGTTAAAAAACACCGGGCAAGATTTACAGCCTGTTGGCCAGCCGTGGTAGCTACAAAACGCTAAACAACAGACGCAGGAAGCAGTTCCTAACATGGCTCTGCTAACGTGGGCTTTTGTTTTTTTGTTGAACAAAAGCCAGGAAAAAGTAGAGACGAATGCGTTCTGCCTTGAAATGCGGGTGAATTAATCCCACTGATGCCATAAATACTGTGCCGGGGATCTGAGGGCTGTCTGGTTTTAAGGGTTGGGTCCTGCCAGCACTGGATGCACAGAAATACTGCCTTTGATGGGAGTTCTGCAGGAAGGGGCTGGTAGCGAGTCGTGAATTTGAGGCCATGGTTTTTGGCCATTTCCCCTTTGTCCCTAGAGCTTCGTTCAGCACATTCAGCAGCACAGCTAATATGGGAAAGCCTCATGTGACGGGACCTGGGACGAGGCACATCACCCTGTGTGTGGATGGCACTGAGAGTGGCTGTTTGCTCTGCTTTTTGGACAAAGATGATCTACAATGCAAAAAGAATCCAGCAAACTAAGATTGAAAAAAAGGAATGGCCCAGTGTTATCTCAGGAGCAGAAGGAAAAAAAGGAGTATAAGCATTTCAGGCGGACTAGAAGAGACTGAGGGAGACAAAAGCCGGAGTATAAAGAGTGCAAAAGTGAAGGTGGAGGGGGGGAATATAAATTAATCCTTTGCATTGTGTTAGTCACTGCTTAATAAGTGCTGGTTAATCAGGTCGCTCAGGCACTTGTTCTCACAAGAAAAAGTTAATCCATGGTGCTGGTGCAGATGCTCTGGCCCACCTGCACTGCTCCAGGGGCAGGGAGGAGTCAGGTCCCAGCTCCAGGCAAAAGAAGAAATCCCTAGCACATTTCCCTTTATCTAGGCAGAAGCTGTGAAAGAACGTGGCACTATCTTGCCTCACCATTCTTCCTCCACAACCAATTTCCCTAGGGAACAAACATGCTTAAAAAAAATATAAACACAGACGCACCCCTCAAAAAAATGTTGGAATTGTTTTTGTTTACTTGTGTTCAAAAATTACTTTCACTTTCCCCCTCCAGTATTAATAAGTGGGAATATTTAATTTGCCAAAAAAATCCATTGAGTAATGAATACTGGTTGTGTTTTGAATAGATATTACGTGACATCCCTGCTCTTCCACTCAGAAAAGGTAGTTCACTCGAAAATTAGGATCAAAAAAGCCAGCAATGTGACAACAAAAATGTAATATTGGAAAGTTAAATGAAAAAATTCATTTCATAAAAAAAAAAAATTAGAGTCAACAGAGGCTTTGATTGTACCCATTATGAACATTTCATTAACAAGTCCAGATTTATTGACTGTGCAGTAAAGCTCTCTTAAAGGAAGCCTTGAAATTCCTTTTCCCCCTTGCTTTTCTATTTCTAAAGCCCTTGGCTACTCTATGTCAGAAAATAAGAAATAATTATATTTATTCAAATGCCTTGATAGAATATCGAAGCCTGCTCAGCTGAATACGTCTCCTAAATGAACACCATTACCAATAGACCAAGGGATAAAAACGTCCAGCAAATGAACAGGGCCGAGGGAATTAGTAAAACACACCTCAAACGGTGGAAAGCCGAGGATATGGTTTTGGGGCTTTTTAGGGGGTGAGGGGGGAGGTTTGGGGGGGTTTTTTTGTTTTGTTTTTCGGGGTTTTTTTGGGGGTTGTTTTGTTTTGTTTGTTTGGGTTTGGTTTTGTCTGTTTGTTTTTTGGGGTTTTTTAAATGGGGGTACATTTGCAGAGTGATAAAGAAAAGTCTAGAGTCGCCAAAATCCACGGAAAAGGCGCCTCAAATAGAGAGGGTGACAGATGAAGTTCAGCATTGCTGAGCATCAGGCAGATTTCTGGAGCTGCTGCTGCAGATCGTTCACCTGACAACCCCTCACAGAGCAATCTGTCGGGTTTGGAGGTTTGGTGGTTTTTCGTGTTTTTTCCCCACAGAATCCCAAAATTGTTACGGTTTGAAGGGGCCTCTGGAAATCATCCAGCCCAGCCCCTGTGCCAAGGCAGGGTCTCCTGGAGCAGGTGGCACAGGAACGCATCCAGGTGGGTTTGGAACGTCTCCAGAGAAGGAGATTCCATCAGTTCTCTGGGCCAGCCTAAGAGCTCTGCCGCCCTCAACGTAAAGCTGTCCTTCCTCACGTTATTTTCCCTAAAGTAAAAGTTTCCTTTCCTGCGGGAAAAACTTTCCACACGGCCGGGGACACAAGCAGCTCCCCGGGCGAGGCGGGTATTGCGCTCCGAGCGGGCCCGGCCCGGCCCGGCCCGGGCTGGGCTGGGCTGGGCTGGGTTGGGTTGGGCTGGGTTGGGTTCCCCCGGTCCCTCCCGGCTCCCCCAGCCCCGGGCACACAGCCGGGGCCCGCTGCCCTCCAGCCCTGCGCTGCCCCGAGCCCGGGGCCCGGCCCAGCCCGGTACCCTGGTGCTGCGGCCGCGGTGCCGCCGGGGCCCGGCCCAGCGCTGCACATCGCCCGCCTTCCCTTCCTTCCCTTCCTTCCCTTCCCTTCCGGCGGGGCGGGCGCTCGGCGCCATGGGGCGGCGGCTGCTGCTGGCGGCGGCGGAGCAGCTCGCGGGAGTCTGCCCGGGGCAGGCGCGATTCCTGCTGTAAGGAATCGCGGCGGGGCGGGGACGGGCGGTGGGAGAGCCCGGCGGTGACGCGCGGGATGTCGCCGCCTGTGCCGGCGGCCGAGCCCTGACGCTTTCCCTCTCTCCCGCGCAGGTGGATGCTCCGCAGTTCCCGAGGCGAGTGAGGGGCCCCGGGCGCAGGCGGTGCAGCCGGGCCGGAGGAAGGGGCTCCGGAGCCGGGCTTCCCGTGATCCCGGCGCGCTCCAGCCGAGGCTCCTGCCGTGGGAGAGCAGCGCGCGGCGGCTGCGCAAGGACGGGAGCGTGGGAATGAATGAATGAATGAATGAATGCCGGCTCGCCCTTTCCCTCTGTTTTCCCCTTGTCCCTGCACTGGCCCCGCACGGCTGCGTTTTGGGGTGCCGGCAGCAGTGCGGAGCTCGCCAGGAAGCAGGGCCAGGTGTCCCCAGCGGGTTTAAGGAGAGGCGCCCGAGTCCAGCTCCAGCAGCAGGAGCTAATGAGGCAGATGCCAGGAGCGAGCCTCTTACTGGCCTAAAATTTATCTCAAAGCGTTTCTTCATTGTAGCCTGAGGTCATGGCATCTTCTCACACTTAAAATGGGCAAAGAGCTTTACAAGGCTTTGGTGTCCCTGATCTGGTATGGAGTTCTTTGCAGAATTGTGAGCCTCCGTTGCTAAAGATTTTTAACAAGGAATTGCATTTTTTCATGAAAGCCCATAGTTACATATTGTGTAAACTTGTGCCTTTCATTAACTTAGTCTGAATTGTGCTCAGCTGAGCACATTCTGGTGCTCAGCTTCCTCTTGTGTTCTAGTGTTTTTTTAAACACAGAAACACTTAGGTACTTAGGTAATGTCAAAATTGAAACACACCATTTTAAAGTTTGCTTATACAACATAGTTATTTCATCCTTTTGCCTTTATTTATCTGTAGCTAATGAACATGGATTAGAAAGGATATGTCCTTACTGCTTCCAGTTCCTGGTTCCTGACAGCTACCGGGTGCGCCTCAAACCAAAGATGAAAGTAACTCCACAGATGGAGAAAGTTCTTAAACGAGAGGCAAAGAATCATAAACTTAACATGAAACAGACAAAGCTTTTGAGAAAGTACAAGGAGTCAAGAAGCGTTCTGGTAAGGACATTTATTTGGATCTGACAAGTACATGATATTCCCTAAATTACATGTCCCTATTTCAGTGGCATAAAAAAAGAATACACAGAAGCCTTTCTCTTAGAAGAGAAGCCCACACATTTCTTTATTACGAGCATAAAACTCTTCCTTTCTTTTTGGAATAACTTCTATGTATAAATGAATTATTTTAAAATCTACCTTCCACAATAGGTCATGAACACAGTGACAAGACCAGTAAGCTTTTTTCTCTCCAAAAAAAAACCTTGTGACACTACATGTTAGAGAAGCTACACAAACATCTCATTTACTGCCTTTGTTTCAGTTTATAAGTTGTTAAGCAAATATGTTTTGACACAAACTTTACTTCATGTATTTCACTAGCCTCTCATGGCTACATCAGATTATTATTACCATCTGTATTAATATAATTTTTTACATTTGTCTGAATATTGCTGTTTATAGGAAGTCTTTCAAAACTAAACCCCAGAGGTAATTTCAACAAGTTTATGTTTTTCTCGAGGGCTTAGTTATTTTTCCTAGAAGTACTCAGGAATGTGACATTTAATTACTATTGGAAGAATAATACTGAACATTTAATCTAGTGTTGCCAAGGTATGTACTGTTTTAAAAACAGATCATGTGAATGGTTGTTGTAATAAATGAGACAGGACTCTATTGTGCCCAGCAGTTGCTGGCACACTTGGAATTTTCCAAGGAGTGAATTTTGTGAAACCAAAAATTATTAGAATTAATAAAAAAAAAGAAACTGAGGAAATATCACCAAGGTTCTTGGCTGTCAGAGCAAAATAAGATGCTTCATAAAGGCACTCTCCCCAAATTGTAGGTCACAGTTGAGCTTCAGAAAGGATGTCTGAAAAGGTTTTTCACCCAGAGGGTGGTTGGGCACTGGAACAGGCTCCCCAGGGAGGGGGTCACAGCACCAAGGCTTACAGGAGTTCAAGAAGCATTGGGACAACAGTCTCAGGCACATGGTGTGATTCCTGGAATGTCCTGTGCTGGGCTAGGAGCTGAAATTTGATGATGCATGTAGGTCCCTTCCAACTCAAGATGTTCTGTGATTCTTCAAGCTGAAGTATTTGCTTTATTTTTCTGGGATCACAAATGTTGAGGGTACATTAAGAACTGTCTCTTTAAGCAACTGATGAACAGAGCAGTGTTCTATGAAATGATGATGGGCTCTTAGACTTCTTGTGTGGCTAGAGAATGTTTGTTAGGGACACACTGTGCATTCATATGAGTAGTTTAAAATTCAGTTTAAATAGGTCCAGTTTAAACTCTGGATAATATTTTGATTTTGGTATGTAATTACAATTTGCTGTGCTTGTGTTTTGTTGAGTTTGAATTTGTCCTGTGGATTATGATTTAAGTGTTTCTTATTTCAAGTCTTTAAAATGCTGTCAGCAACTGGCAGCTTTCGGAATTAGCAATGTAGATCCCTGTAATCTAATACCTGAGACTTGTGCAAATGAAAATTTCAGTGTGGTTGGAAATTAAAGCGAGCAAGTGTGACAGGTTGAACCTCTGAGAACTTTCTTAGCAAGTAGAACTTGATTTTAGATTGCTTCTGCCATAAAAAGGAGTATAACATAGGGACTGTTTCAGGGATTTAAACATTTTTGGAGTTAACTGCTGATCCATTTCAGGGAGTGGAAATTAGCTGTGAAGTGCTATAATTAATCCAGTAATTCCTGCATTGTAAAGTGGTCACCTCCATTTGTATTCTTCACAGTGCTAATTCACCATGTGATGCTGAGTTTGTTTCCCACCTGTATTTCATTTAGAAGAACTAAAAATACATCAATACCTGAGCACTTAAGGCCATTTTTTTTTAGTTCATTAGGCTGACAAAACACAATGTCAAAACGCTTAACTAAAAACGTTTAATTTCAGCATCTCTAAATGTAATTTTTATAAACTATCTGAATTTAGTTAAATTGACACACTTTGAAATGAAGAATGGCTTGGTATAAATCAAAACTGCTTAGACATTTTTGTGACAGTCTTTTGAGTATATTATTTTTAACCAGAAGCATCACATAACTGATTTTCTGTCAGTCTAATTGGTGCCTCAGAAAGCTGTCTGGCTGTATTACTTTTGTATCTCTTAGTGTGAGTAGTTGCCATGGCAGTAAGGGATATCAGGAATGCCTGACAGTCTGTGTGACTGGGTGATGTGATTGGTTCTGATGCATCTCTCAGCTTGGTGTGCTGCTGAAGTTCCCTGCAGCCAGAGGTACACTGAGAGAAGAGAAAGTGCCCTTTGTTTAGAACATGCTCCTTATTGTTGTAAGTACTTTTACCCAATTCAAAGCCTCATATTTGTTCACTGAGACTTGCTGTTTTTAGTAAAGTGGACATCTGCGTTTGAGAGTTTGGTAGTTTAAATATTTTATCCCAAGATTCCCTGAAAAGTGTGCAATATAACTTCATTAAGGGTAGAATATGCTAATGACTTTAGATGACACAGAATGTGGTATTTTTTAGCCAAATACCTAATGTATTGGAGTACTTTGGTATACTCAGTGTCTCTTGTACACTCAAAATATGATTTGCCCAGTTCAGGTTCTGTTTCGTCTGTGTTGACAGCATTGTTCTCTGTATTTCACATTCAGCAGTAAGGGTCTCCTGAAATTAGTTTGTAGAGAATTGGAGTAATTTCTAGATAAACCCAAAGGATGTGTTTGGCTTAAGAATTAAAATCCGAATTACAAAGTGTATGTTACTTTTTAGTATCACATGTTTTGCTTAAGCAAATATTTAATTTGTGTCATGGTATTTGGAGAACAGTTTGGATAATTCTTCTAACGGCTTTATAATAAAATGGTGGAAAGATTGAAAGGCAGCTTGACATTTACTTTCTTCTCTCCATAGCTGATTACTTGCAAATCTTGCAACAAAACAACGAGACATTATGGTGAAAGCAGGGATTTTCTGGCTACCAGAACACAAAATTGTGGCACTCCAGGTATCAAATCTAGCCTGAAGACACCAGATACAAAAATTCAGTCTGCAAAGAAAATGACACCTGTAAGCTGCAGTAGGTTGGGATCTAAAGGGAACAGTCCCTCGTCACTTTCCAGGTATCTGTTTCTTTCCTATTTAAAGCAGCCCTTTGCCAAGTAGAGTGTATTGCATCTTGTTGGTTTTAGATCAGTCATTTAATAAAGTTTAAATTGATAACTTAGTGTATTTCTCAGTTGGTATGTTTGAGGATATCGATTTTAATTTTCCAACCTTTAACATCAAAGATTATCATGAAAAACCACTGTGTGCAAAGAATGCCCAGTTACATTTGTGTCATCAGTGCAAAATGTCTATCCTAAAATTTGCATGACAGAGTAACACTGATGATTGCTCACTTGCACGTAAAAATACACGGTTTCTCTTGGATATTTTTCACTCAAATTATGTATGTGTGCTTTCACAGTTACTTTATGCTAATTCAGATTTCTCCCCTTTAAGACATTTGAATCTTTTGTTTTTCAGGACACGTGAATCCGGACAGGCAACAACCAACTCTGCTTCCAAGACTCCACGAAACTCCAAATTTCACTTTTCTAAGCTAAAACGGATGCTTGATCTAGAAGAAAAAGAGAAAAACCAGAAGGCAGATTTCAAAACCTTTTTGACTTTACTTTAGTTATATATTATTTCAAAGTAATAAAGATTACAGCAATAAATATTGCTCCAGTTTTAGTAAATCAACAAAGCTGTACCTTGTGGAAGCATAGACCGTATTTTTTAGACGGAAGCTCTGTTTCCAAGGGGAGTGATTGTCTGCCTGAGGGAGTTGAGAAGATAGCCAGTTTAATATGCTTGGGAATCTTGAACATGTTCTGCAGTTTCTGATGCCCCAGGAATTAAAAGCCAGGATTTATCCTTGGAGGAAGCTGATAATGGTCCCACCAGGACCATTTAATTGTCAAGATTAAAGATCTTCAGTTTATGTTTGGCACAGAGATGAGAGGACAGTGTGAAGTCACTGTTCAAGACTGAGGTTATAGCTTGTCCCATTTACAGTCTGCAGTGATAATTCTGCACATGGTGCTTAACATTTCCCTCCTGAAAAATACAGCCAATTAGTTAAAAGCATTTACTTTCTTGGATTTAAAGGTCTGTGTTTTCCTTTTCTTTTGCTGGTTTAACGAATAGTTTACTTTAAGTGCCTTCAGATTCAGTGAACAGTGCTTAAGAAGTAGGACCAGCAAATAACTTGGTGGACTGGGAAGCAGTCCAGGGCAGGGGAGAATAGTTCATTGTAAACTGTACTTAAGAGTCTCAGAGATTGGCATGTGACCTTTTTATATCTCCTGTACACTTGCATAATAACTGAAGGGTGCACTGCTCTTTGTCTCTTATGTACGTGTAGGATAAAATGAACTGCCATTCTTTAATCAAAATACAAACCTTGGAGTGTTGCCTTTTTCAGTAGAACTTGGCATTAATTCACCTGTTGCTGTACTTAGAATCCAGTCCTCTGAAAAATACTTAATTTTGTTGACTTCTGTGCATTGCACAAAAGTATTTGAAAATACAAATTCTGCAATAAATTTTCTTATTAAAAGCGCACACATTAGTAGGTACTGCTGTTCTTCCCATGAAGCCAATGTGAAACTAGCACAGGCATCTGCTGTTTTAAGGTGCCCCAACATTAATGTGTTCGTTAGATCAAAGCATGTTTCCCTGTTGTCCCTGTTTACAGTGCTTCTTACACAACAACTTGCAGTCTCAAGAATGCATTCCTTTTGGATAAAACTATAAATAAGGGATAAAAGACAGGAAGGGGGGAGCACAACCAGTGTGCAGAGTAAGCTAATGGGTGATCTAGCCACATCACAAGAGAGCTTGTCTAAACTACGCATTTCCAAAAATGTTTTGTGGCGGTTGGCACTGAACTACAGGCATTCTGCACACCAAGTGTGTTACCTTTGCAGTACGTTATTTGTTAACAGAGATAGAGCCTTGTCATGCTCCCAACAACAACTTTTTTTTCCTTTGGAATTATCACAGTTGTCAGATATGTCCAGATGTTGTTGTTAAAAGGGATTGTTATTGAGAACTATTAGACTTTATTCTAGGAACAAAGGGAAAGAAGTCATTCAGTATGTGCCTTTTCTTGTTTTACAAGTGTGCTTCAAAATGCTGGGTAGAAATAATCTCCAGTGCTTTTATATTATTCCTAAGCCTTTAATAGAATCTGATTTTTCTGTTAACTGGATTTCCACAGAATTGGTATATTGAAAGACAGACACACATATGTATAAATGTATCTCTATACATAATATATGTAGGTGTATACATACATATGCACACATCAGAGGCTTATATGCAGACATATATTACATATAGGCATGTCATGCACTCTTCCCTTCAGGACACATTACCTTCCTGTACTTGAAACACTGAAGGCTGTTGGCTGTGAGAGACTTGGTGAGCTCCCCTCCAAACCACTGCCAGGCCACATTACTGGCTTGTGTTTGAAGTGCTAGAATAGAGAGAGAGAGGAAATGCCTTCACTGATTTCAGAGAGGGCAAAACTTCAGCCAGACTTTGTAAAGCAAGAGCAAGAAGGTCTCCGATGAGCATATGGCCCTGCAGAGGCATGTGATTAGAGAGTGAGTGTTATTTCCCTGCTCACAAAAACTCTTGGGCAATGCTATGTGTATCATTGGTAGTACTTGTGTCATACCACAATGAAAATGTTATAGAAGTGTGTCTTAAAATAATAGTTCTAGAGATAGGACCTCAGACTCTTTAATGCACTGCTTCCTCACTGAAAACTGTCACACAAAATACAGGGAGTAATAAACCTCAAAATTAGCATCAAGCATTTCCTCAGCATCATCCCTGAGATGAGATTTTGCTTGACTCCTGAGTATAGAGAGCAGTTTATATTGAAGACATTTCCCACCATGAGACTGAGAAGGTAAGCAATGAATAATAATTTTCAAAGATGTTTTTACAACAATGTTTTATTAAATATGAAAGAGCGTACATATAGGTGTTATTCTGAGGACATAAATTACACAAGGATTACAGGTTCTGTCAGAAAAGCACAATAATGAAACATCTTTACATTTCAAACTTTTCTTGTTAGCTTTTAACAAATAAGTCTATTTCTGTTGCAAACAAGTAATGAGTGCTATTGAACTTTTGCAAATTCCCACAAAAACATCATGCTTAGTAGGATACTTTAACTATTGTAAATATGAAATCAGAATTAGATTCCTAAATAGCACGATGGAAGAGATTTACTACTTAATCAAGATAAATGACACACTGAAATAGGAGCCGAGACAAAATTGGTCATTCATTAAAAAAAAATTTCACCTCAGACACTATGTTTGAGTCTGCTTTCTTCACTTGCAGGAATAATCACTGTGATTAAATGTAATGAGCAGAACTGGCCTAAATATTTGCAAATGTAACCATCAAATTTTAGACGTGGTTTTCACTGATTTTCCCACTGAAAAAACCCCACACCTACAGATCTATTTCCTCTACGTTTCAAAAGGCTCTTCTGCAGAGGGCCAACCAAGCCTATGTATGATTCCACGTCCTCCATGGTCATCTGCGCTGCCGGCTACTGCATCCTATGTACGTGTTTAGGGTCACCATCGACTCTTCAGACTGAGTTACCACTGACTTGTGAGAGCAGAACTAGTCTGTGCAAGTCCTAACTCAATGCTTTTTTAAACTTCAGGTAAACAGGAATGTGATTTCATCATAATGAAAGCTCTCAATTTGACACTCGGAAGACTACTCGGATAAAATACATAATAAGCATGTGGTTTGGGTTGTGTTGCTAGGGATTAACGGAAGTGTTTTAATATATTAATACAAACATTAACAGGGTGAATCAGACAAGCTATTATTATTGCAGGCTGTAGTCTTATTTCCGAAAGAAGTAATGAAACATAATTTCGAAGAATGGTAATTTTTGTAGCTAAGGACTTCACATTTATTTTTAAAACCACAAAAATGGGGTGGTATTCCTGATATCTTTCAAAACATTCTGCAAAAAACACAGCTTGAGCCTGCAAATACTAGAATATACAAGCAGTCCCAGTGACCTCCAAGGTAAGCATTCTCACATGGCAAAGTGCTGCAGGAATCTTTTTGCTTTTTTTCAGAGAATGCTTAATAAAAGTGCAATATAGTGAAGCAAATAATCTAATTATTATGCCTTTATTATTAGATGAAAAATATTCAGATATTTTATAATTGTGCCTTTTGTAGGGCAGGCATTCTGGTTTGCCTAGAGCCATTAGAAGAGGTAGGCAGCATATGCCCACACATTTTCTTTCCCAGGATGGCAACACCCCAAAGCAGTTCTGTGGTACAATCCCACCTACAGATAAAACAGTGTGCTGCCCAGTCTCGCAGTTATTTCTGTTTTGACGGAAGCTGATGCGGTTTGCTTTACCTTTCCACCCAGGCATGTTCTCCCTCTTGTCTCCTCGGAACCTTACCCTTCCCCACCCAGCCTCTTTTCTTCCTGAGATGTCAGAAGTACATACATTAAGATTTGGAACCTGAGAATTTGGAGGTATTTTTTGACACTACGGGGCTGCATCTGTACCATACCACGCTATCTCCTGCTATACTATTACAGTTACAATATAAATCTCCTAACTACTCGATACCTGATGCCTTTCCCATATAAATTAAAAAAAAAAAAAACCAGCGTCCCATTCAGCCTTTAATATATGACACTTGCTCCAGGAGTGACCTTTGCCTTTCACAAGTCCTTTTTCCCAAACAAGTATTGAAGGATCATTTCCAAAATCCCAGCTATGAAAAACTCCTTGAAGTAAACAATTTCACAGTAAAATAAAGAAAAATATATCCAGAAAATAACACTCTCTCAAAATTAAAACTTATATACATCAAGAAAAAGCTGAGGTTTTGCCTCATTCTTTTATCAGTTTTACATTACCTGTAGATAAGCAATGTTATCACTAGGAGTTATGAACAGAAAAACAAATCCAGTGAAATAAGGGTCGTGTCTTTTCTAAAACCTTTGAGAGATCAAGAAAATTCATCAGTCAACTTTATTATTGTAACTAATTTCAATTCAGGCAGCAAAAGACTGTTTAAGCTTAGTTCCCTATGATTCTGAGTATCCAAGACAGATCTTTCAGCGCAATCTAATAAGCCTTGTCACTGCACTTATAATCACCTCTGGGCACAAATTAGGTTTTCTATGGATGGAATTCAACCATGAACTCACTATTTATGCTTCTTGTTCTAAGATTTTTTTTAGAATTCTTAATAGATTAAGCTGGTTTAATATTCACTACAAATTTGGTGCTATTCTTTAGCAAAACTGAGCTTTAACTGCAACTGCAATGCACATCTATGTGTATAAGAATTTATGTGATGAGTTTAATGTACTAGAACAGAAATATTTAAAACATTAAAATTATATCAGAACATTTTCTCATCAAGAATCTACACTGAAATATGTCAAAAAATGTTATTTGATTTTGCATATTAAAGTAAAGAAACTAAATCCTCTGGATTCAATATAGTCAGCTTTTTTTCTTTCTTATAGAATGGAAAATTGCCACTCAAAAAGTTTGAAATTTTTGGACATCTAGTGAGCTCTGATAACTATTTTGAGCACTCCTATTTGTCAGTCAGAATTTTTTAAATCATCTGTATTCTATATTGCATGCTATGGACTG